GGTGTGGGAGCATCGGTAATGGAAACACACGGAGTCTGCTGTGTTCATGCTGGCCTCGGTACCACAGAGGGGCCCAGCCCCCACCCGCCGGGTGCTCCAGGCTGCTGGTCAGCTGCAGGGGAGAGGGCAATTGAGAGGGCAGGGCTACGGGCAGCTAGCTGCTTGCCCACATTGAACAAGTGAGTGCCAGGCTTGTGCCTTCCCCATTACCTCCCCCTGAGGTTACTGTGAGTATGAGTTAATGCAAGTGGTAGCGGGCATTTCACGGACTTGATTCTACTGATTCCACCCCTGTGAGATGGCCAAGCCTGGCATTTCCCCTTCCTCCCTCCCCGCGTGTTACACGTGAGGAAACGGAGGCTCACAGAGCTTACATTGTCATGCTCACGGTCCCTGCTCATCAGCTGAGAGTGGGCTGGAGCCCTGGCACCCTGAGGGTGGAGTCAGCCAGGCAGGGCACAGGGCACTGGTGTTCAGTGGGCTCCAACTCTCCCCTGAATGAGCAGGGGTTGGTGAGGACACTGGCTTCTGTCTCTCCTCGATCTGTCAGGCTGGCTCTGGCTTTTTCCCTTGTTCATGCGTATGAAAGCAAGGAATGAACCAGAGGCTCAGGAAAAATCTCAGGCTGGGTCTCAAGATCTGGGGAGGTAAGGGGGTTTCCCAGTACCCCTAAGCCCCCTCCCAGCATCTGGGCTCCTGGGGTCATCTACCTACCTCCTGCCCCTCCACACACTGCTGTTAGGGCATTACTCACACTCCAGTGGTCTGAGCTCAGTCACTGCAAGGGAGTATGGGAAATGTGGTCCAGCTGTGCCCCTGCCCAGAAGGAGAGGGAACTGGACTTCCTGAAGTCTCTGTCCCATCACTGTCATCTGAAATTATCTCCTTCCTTCATTTACAAGCACAATATATGGAATGAGAAAGTTAACCTTTCTCCCCCACCCAACTGCAACTCCCGGAAGACGGGTCTCACCTATCATGTTCACTGCATGTATCCAGCCCCTAGGACATAGTGAGTGCTCAGTAAATATGGGCGAATGAAGAGCTAAGCTCAGCCCGTGTTTTCAAGGGGGGAAATGCAAATTCTGTGCTTGGACGAGGGAATTGAGAGATGAGTCCTGCTGGTAGGGCACCACTATTCAACCCAAAACTTGGTGGCTTGAAATAACACAGTCATTTTGTTTGCTTTCAGTTCTGTAGCTTGGGAAGGGTGCAGCAGGGGCGCCTGTCTCAGCTCTGCACGGTGTCACCTGGGGCCAAAGGGTCCCCTCCCGAGGTGGCTCCCTCGACGTTGGCCCCGGCTGTCGGTTGCACACGGGCCTCTGCACAGAGCTGCTCGGGCTTCCCTCCAGCGTGGGGTTCCCGGAGTGAGTGTGCCAAGAGACAGGGAGCAGAAGCTGCCTGTCTGTGTTAAGCTGTGGGCCCAGAAACGGGCATTTCGTCATGTCCTCTGTAATCTTACTGGTTAGGAGGTCACAGATGCAAGATCCAAGGGGCTCTTGATGGGAAGAGCATCAAAGAGAAGGCTTCCTGGAGGAGAGGAGCGAGAAGCTATAAACCCTAAGGTTTCGATGGTACCTGCGAGTTCTCCCGGGTGGCCGGAGCAGCCTCCGTGCACCCTGGCATGGTGCAGCTTTGTCTGGCTGCCCCGAAGAAGCCTCCAGTCGATGGACATGGCAGACTGTCTCCTCCAAAAGTGGCGACACTTCCATTCTCAATGCGTTTCCCTTGCCACTGGCTCCTGGGACCCAGGCATGATCCTGCAAGGAAGCCCAGGCCGCATGCAGAAGCCACCTGCAGGAGTTCCAGCTGACAGCCTACGGTAAGGTCTCGGCATCTGCTGTCAGAAATCTAAATGAGCCCTGGCTGGTGTAGCTCAGTGGATTGAGCGTAGGCCTGTAAAACAGAGGGTTGCTGGTTCGATTCCCAGTCAGGGCACATGCCTGGGTTTTGGGCCAGGTCCCCAGTTGGGGGCACATGAGAGCAACCACACATTGATGTTTCTCTTCCTCTCTTTCTCCTTCCCTCCCCCTCTATCTAAAAAATCAATCAATCAATCAATCAATCTAAATGACCCACTGCCAGAGAATTCCAGCCCCCAGCGTCCGAGTCTTCCGTCTGAGCCCCCAGACGTGTTCTATCTGTACTTCTGACCCATGCAACCCACGAGCATGTTAAGTGGTTTCATGCCACCAAGTTTTGGGTAATCTGAAATGCCACCACAGTAATGGGCTCAGCAGGCCCAGTGAAATGGAACAGCAGGACCTCCAGACAGCAGTGCCATGGCCAAGAGGGGGCTGGTGGTGCCTCACCAGAGACGTCTGGCCCCTGAAGGTGGCATTCGCCATGGTGAGCTGGAGAGCAACGAGAGGCGTTTTGGACAGAGGAAGCAGCGGGGGTGGCGCTTTGAGCTAGGAGAGGAGCTAGCAGGAGGAAGACGAGTGGGGCTGGAGCAGAGCCCTGTGGGGTGGGGTGGGTGGTCCAGGGAACAACGCCTCATCTCGAGGGCTCAAGGAGGCCCCTTGGTTAGGTCTGCTTCCCGATGAGGCAGTGAGATGGACGGTCAGAGGAGCGAGGCCACCAGCCAGGCTCAGGTGGGCCTGAGGCCTCTGCTGTGGTGGGCAGTGGGGGAGAGGGGGCTGGACCAAGCTGTGGGATGGACGAGGATGGGAAGATGTGTAGGGACAGTGGCACCTGGATGGCAGGATGGACGCAGGCCCAGGCCCAGAGCTGAGGGGGCCAGAGCTGGGCATGCCTGTGCTGAGGGCCAAGTATGCCGTTGGGAGGGCTGTGGACGATGCTGTCCTCCTTACAGTGTGGCCTGTGCTGGCCATCCCTCCCCAGGAGGAGTCCCTGGGGAAGTGACATCCTCTGCAGCCCTTTCATCCCTTCAGTTATACCGCGTGACACACCCCTTCACTCCCGAGTCCGAGACTTGGGAGGGTTCTGCTGCCGGCTGCTGTCTTGGCTACAGCCAGGCTGAGGTCAGGCCCTGGGAAGCCTTTGGGGGTCCCCCCAGGTGGGTGTACTTCCTGGCTAGAGCTGCATGATGGGACAGCATCAAGGTCCTTAGTGAGGGGCCAGCCCCCTACCGCACATGCCTGGGGGAGAATGCGAGTGGCTGGGCTGCATTATGAGCGGGAAGTGGAGGTGGCCCCTCACTTGACCACGAGGGACATCTGGCCGACTCACCCTGGGTCCTGCTCACCAGTCTCCCCTGAGCCTCGTGGAACCGCCCCAGCTAGGACTTTGTCAGGTTCCCTTGGGGTGTAAAGCTTTGTCAGCACGCCTGCCACCCTTTCCTGGCAAACTGAGGGGCATTTGTGTGTCCCCAGCCCCCATGCAGCCTCACACTTCGAGGGGTTCAGTTGAGTCAGCTGAAGGAACAAGTGAACCAACGTTGAGTGAATTCTCCGGGTCAGCGTGTCATCTGTACACGTTTCCAGGGCCATTCACCTTTCCGTGAAAACCACTCCCTCCCAGGACCCGCCGTGCCTCTCGGAGTGCAGAAATTTCTGGTGGCGCGTGCACCCTTAGAGGGCTGAGAACACCGGCTGTCGCAGAGGCACGTTACCAGGGGAAGACAAAGCTGTCCGCAGCTCCCATAACGGCACAATCAGCGTGGGCAGTGCTTGCTTGTAGGAGCTGCCGACTCAGTGGGCCAGGGAACCAGAACTGGCTCACGGAGGGCTGGCCCTGGGTGGGGCTGGTGATGTGTCCCCACTGCTGACCAGAGAAGCCAGGGAGGGTGCCGCTCAGCACGGCCCTTGTCTGGGAGGACACTGCGCCCACCGGACAGCCTGCAGCCTCCGCCCACTCACCCAACCGGGCTGAGAGGGTGAGCCAGGAACATGGCTTCGGCCTGCAGGGGCCCTGGGAGGAAGGTGTGTTGGTGCGAGTTCCAGCCCTGAGAGAAGATGCCGGCGTGGCTGCTTTCGTGGGCGGAGGACACCGCAGCAGCAGAGCAGGGAAGGGAGGCAGGAGAGGGAAGCTGGCCAGTGACTGGACTCAGCCTGGCAGGGAAGCCGCCCACACTGGCCTCTGCTAGGCCTTCAGTTGAGAGCTGCCCCCAGAGATTTGATTCCCTCGAAGTTTCTGCAGGCCCTGGAGCAGCTCTCAGGGAAAGAGGTTCAGGCAGGGCAGGAGGACGGCCCAGCGGCATGGAGGGGGGTCTTCACGAGGCACACAGGTGAGGGGCAGGGGCCATCTGAGAAGTGTGCAAGCTCCAGCTTTTGGAGGCAGAACCTGTGGTCAATCAGGTCCCTTGGTGGGGGTGGGGGATGGGTCGTGACCCACAGGAGGGCAAGCACCTGTTGGCTGGGCCTAGGCCAGAGGCGTGTGAGGGAGAAGCTCAGCACAGATTCCGTCTAAGGAGCCACTGGCGTCACGCTCCACCTAAACCATGAAGATGCCCCTGCCTTTCCCAGCGTGTCACTGACGACTTGCAGTGCGTGCTCTCCCAGCCAGCCCACCGCAGCCTCTCCACCCACGTCCATGTTAGCTGGGGGTCAGCGAGGCTCCCAGGGCAAACTCGGGGCTGAGGGGACAGTGCGGAGGAGGTGGCAAGTCGATGGGGCCACCCTCTAAATGGCCTTTTGGACCAGCAGGCTGAGCGGAGCTGCCATGGGTGGGCCCCTGGGATTGACCCAGAAGCCTCAGATGTCGATGGAAGGGGCGGGAGCACACGGCCTCCAGGGGCTCTGTCAGAACTAAGTGTCCTCCTCAGCACACCTGATGAGGTGTGTGACCACTATCAGCCCTCCTTTGCAGATGGAGAAACTGCAGGCCGAGGTCAAGCAACTCGCCCCAGCTGGAGAGGAAGGGGGTGGGGTGGCAGAGTTAGGGGTGAGCCCAAGTCAGGCCCGGGCCCCTGCTGCCCGAGCGGAGGTGTGGGTGCCACCCTGCCTGGCTGTGCACAGCCCGGGCCCCTCAGGGTGAGGCCAGGCCGGCACCCTGTGCCCTCCCCCGGCCTGGAACAAGTCAAGCTGCATTCTTGGTTTCACATTAGTCTTTTATTATAATCGTACTGAACGGGATCACTTTGCCAAGAGGAAAGTCAGTTCTTAAATCATATGAGTTACAGCATCAAGATGAATGAGAAACAAGCGATAGATATAAATGGCAAGACGGGCTATTCCATAAATCAAATGAATTGTGCCATTGTGAGAAAAATTATTATGGCAACTTTTACATCAAAGTGGTCTCAAGCCTGCGTATAGGAACTTCGTATTTTTTTGACACTATAAAAGGAGAGCCTTTGAAGGGAACGCTGAGGAGGCGGTTTTGGCCTGAGAGAAGGAAGCCTTTGCGCCAGTTTCTCCCCTCAACTCTGCCCGGCCGCCTCCCCCGCCCCACGGCCTCACCCGGCCCTGCTCTGCACACAGCGGCCAGCGGTGGGGGCACATCTGCGGGGGAGCAGGGGGGGTGCAGCCGCCCCCAGTGGGTGAGGAAGTCCTCCATCCACTCTTGTTCGGTAATGACCCCTGTGGGCAGCTTCTTAAAGAAACAATAAAATAGAAATAAAAAGGATACATTTGGGTCAACTCTGGCAGGCTGTCATTAGGAGACACCAGAACTGTCACAGAATTTTCTAATCACTTATCACCTCGTCCCTGGTGATGGCGAACAATCAAACCCCGAAGGGAGGATGACAGGAGTCAGCTCAGTTGTATGCAGGGCGGGCAAATCACAGGAGGTCCTGGTTTACTGTTAGTCACATTCACTCCAAAGTGACAGTTCTTCCGGCCAGACTGCAGTCAGCAGTGAACGTCAGCAGGAGGTCATCCTTGGAAGAATTATCCATATAATGAGATGTTTTCAAGTTTTATGTGACCCCTTGGCATACACACAAGGTAAGGCAAAGTCAAATAATTTTCTTTCTCTAATCTGTAACTCTCATATGTACTGTATACATATAATTTAACTCAAATTTCCAAACTGATCTGAGAGGAATGCATGAACACAGGGATAAGTATAAAAAGAGGAGATAATGAAAATTAATCTAGGCTTTATGTATATAAACTTTAACTGCTAATAATCAAAACACAAGAGGTTCCAATGATTACCACATTTTTTAAGAAAAAAAGGTTTCATATATTCAGCATTTAAAAAATGTGCCATTAAACATAAGTACCTGATAGAGTAATAAAAAGCAACATAAATTCTTTAATAGCACTGTAACTAATAAAAATGCAAATAATGCTCAATTATGAAAAGTAAAAACACATCACTTAAAAAAGGTAAGACAATAATTCCATTCGCATACCCCACAAACCTATGGGGATCGAGGGCGGCTGTGTCTGCACCCACCCCCGTGGGGGTCTCCCCTCTGAGGAGTGGGCAGCTGTCGGGGGCCACAGAAGCAACACCTCTGAGTGACCCACTGATTCCAGGTGGCACCAACTCGGAAGCACAGAACGAAGGACCCACCCCCGTGTGTGGACAGGGCTGGGAGGTCGCAGAGACGGTTAGGTGGGGAAGGAGCGGAGAGCACGCTGGTGGGCGGGTGTCTGGCAGCTACCATGGGGCCCGCGACACTCTGCTGCCCGGACTCCAGCTCTCAAGGCAAAGCGATGCTGAAAGCGAGCAGGCGACTGCGGCTTAGCCGCCAGGAGATGGTCGATTCCACGGCCCTGCCCAGTCTTTGTCCTGGAGCCCGGGCGAGAACAGCTCCCCACTTCTGGAGCTGAAGACACTGGCACCCTCCCAAGCCTTTGAGAGAAAATAATGACAGCTGTGCAGCTGCAAGGCCACTCACTCAGGGGACCTGGGGAGCTCATGGAGTACCGTCGAGGGGCACACACGTGGCAGCAGCCTCCTCAGGGAGCCACCCCAGCAGGGCGCGGAGCCTGCCACTCAGCGTCAGGAGCCGGAGCTAACGTGCACACCTCCACACAGGCGGGGCTGTCCTCTCCTTGTGCGTTGAGGGATTTCCTTGCTGGAGTTTCAAGAACAAACTGCAGAGCTGACCAGAAGCCCCTCTCGAGTCCTCACCACCTCCTTGGAGAAGTGGGAGGCCCTGTCATTGTCACATTTGTCTGTAGAGAAGTCGCGGTCAGCGGTGGCAGGGACGAAAGGGCACCCACCCTCCCACAGGCAGCTGTTCAGTACCTGCTGCCGTGCAGGCTCCCGCTGCCCAGAGGCCTTGCCGTCTGCAGAGGAGCAGCCCAAAGAACCAGCCACCCCAGTGCAAGGTCTGCTTAAAGGGACCTTGTTCTCTGGCATGAAAGATGCTAAAAGGTGAAATAGGATTGTTTAAGGGGGGCAGTGATAACCAGAGTGATCTGGCCTGAGGCTTGGAAATTATTTACCAATGAGGAGTCTAAACCCCATCACACCTGAATGAGCCCTAGGTTTAGAGCCGCGTCAGGGGATCGCTGTAACTTTCTGAGAGGTCAGTAACGCATGGTGTCTTTCCAGCCCGGAACCCACTGGTCCTTCCCACGGCATTTGGCTTTGCCGTGTGACTTCCCAAGGGAGAAAGGACACCGGCGGGCACACAGATTTCCAGAAAGTGTTCTGGGTATCAATCAGTGTCCCGGTGGCACCTGATGCTCTGAGGGAGGAAGAATTGAAGCCAATTCTTTCTTCTTCTGGATAACACTGATGGCGCTGTCACACCTTCTCGGTTGGGGGGAAGAGGACAGAGGAAAAGTCACTGTAACCGTGGTCTGGGCTTTCCGGGTGGTGTGGTCCTGGGCACCTACTGCAGCTCCCCCTCGGAGCGAGGGTGCGGCAGGTTGGGGAGGCCCCAGAAAGCCTGTCTGCACTTTGGTGACCAGCAGTCTGTGTGCTTGGTGGCCGTTTGCTCTTCTCTAAAAGGTTCTGTGGGCTGTTCCGGTGCCACATGCATGCTGGGAAAGCGGTGCTGGTTTCAGAGGTGTCCCCACTGGGGGGAGCCTCAGCGGGGCGCACAGGCTGCTGGGGGGGGTGGTGGCCTGGGCACTGTGGTCAGATGTCCAGGGGGCTCACGATGGTGAAGCCGGAGTCCTTGCTGTTGCTGCTGCTGTCGTCGTCAGGGCTGGAGCTGGGGTTGCTGGAGGACGCGGAGGCTGGGCCCATCAGAGGGTCGGAGAAGACCAGCGGGGAGCGGGCCAGGGCCTCACCTTTCCCAGACGTGCTTCTGAGGGTGCGCAGAGGCTGGGCCTGGCCGGAGAAGGATGCCCTGGCGCCGCCTCCCTCATCTTCTTTGGAAACCAGGATGAAGTCCTCGGCGCTCCCTCTGTCTGCGTGCCCAGGCGCTTCTGACGAGGCCTGTGAAGTACAGTCAGAAGTTCAGGGGGTGAGAGAAGACACCAGGAAAATGAGAGCTGGGTGGAGGCCCGGAGAGTGGGGAGTGCTCCATGAAAACCCGGGCTGCCTGCCCTGTGCTCTTCTGTGGAAAGATGCCGAGTTCTGCCTGTTTCCAAGCCCAGGTGCTTCCCAGTGGCACAAGGCCGGCCCCTTGGAGGCTGAATACTGGTTTCCCAGGGGAGCAAAGGAAACCTCCTGCTTGGTAAGTTGTTGGGGGAGGCCGGCTCAGGAGCCAGCTAGCAGGCTGCAGATAGAATCCCTCCCAGCTTCAGGTGGCACCCTGCCGTGCAAATCACTCATCCTTCTGGGGCTTCAATCCCCTCATCTGTGAAATGGGGACAGGACAGCATCTTGGTCCTAGTGTGTGGCCACCATGTGGAGAGATGACATGTGTGGACATGAGTCGCAGAGGACTGGCTCCCTAATGTGAGCCCCAGATCTGGAGAGTTTACGACTTGCTCAGAGGAGAGTGTGGGGAGGGGCACGCACTTCCTCTCCTCCAGATCTCAGGGCCAGCTCATCCTGGGTGTGCACTTGGGGGACCCCAGAGAGTGGTGGTTAATTGGCAGGCTCTCCCAACATGCAAACCAGGAATGGTGACTGCAACGTATATGCCAAAAAGCATAGTGATGGAATTGCTTCACAATTATTTCCCTCCTGTCTAAGCAATTATAACTAGCACTTAGTTTTTTAACTAAAGATGACATTCATGAACATTCGCAAAGGTTCTGTGTTAAGACCAGAGGCGCTCCTGCCTCCCCTGGGACGGGAGCAAAGCCACAGTCTAAGCAAAGGTGTTCTAACGCTGGCCTGGTGGAAACAGCACCCGCCCCCGTGCTGAGGTGACTTTGTGTGGTGCCCTCACCTGCTCTCCCGCCGGCCTGCCTGCTGTCCCCGCATTGTGGGGAGGGACTGGGGCAGGGGTCTATGTCTAATGAGATGTATGGAGCCCCTTGGCTGGAAGGGCTCCCCTGGGTCCTCCAGCCTCAAGACTGGTGTGGCCAAGGTCACCTCTGAGCAGTGGGCAGAGCCTGGGACAGGTAGCCGGCAACACTTCTAAGGGAAATCTGGGCCTGGCTGACGTGTCCCTCTCTGAGTCTCATGTCCTCCTGGGGGACATGGTGGGGGTGAGTGAGCAAATAATGGCTCAGGGGGACCCTGACAATCTGTCCACCCTTAACGTTGAACGGGAGAACCAAAATGGAATTTGCCTTTAAGACTTTGGTACTGAAAAAACAGGTCTTAAGGCTCTTGATTCAGCACAGTAATTCCCACAAATCTGAAGAGATCACACAGAGCACACGGCACTCTGGTGGCAGTGGACACGGTCACAAATGGCGCTAGGGCAGTTTGGTCAAGAAAGACTGTCCTTTCTCACCCCGGTCACTGCCCTCTGCACGGTGCACCCGACAGGGGCTGTGCCGCCTTTGGGGAGGCTGGGAGGGGCACCCGAGGGGGGCTTGTCCCCCACACGCATGCACGTGGGGTGCACCTAAGGCTGTTCCGGACCTCAGCGTGAGCTCCTACCTCCAACGTGGGGACACTCTGCTCCTATGATTGTTGTCCTGCTCACTGTTCATGTGACCTGTGAACACCTGTGCGGGGAACAGGTAGGTTCTCACAAGTATGAAAACCGGGCCTGACAACTGCAAGTATAATGAAGCTCTAAAGTCAGCAGATGCATTAGTGTGTTTGAAAGGTCTCTTTCTGTAGTATTTTTACACCTTCAACGAAAAGAATCATGCTAAATTTTTCAATAAACTTGTCAATTAAAATGGGTGGGGCTCAACGGTATTTGAATAAATAAATGTCAACTGAAAAATTAAACATCTGTGCAGGGAGGGAGAAATAGAAGGAATTAATCAAGTTAAGTGTGCAATTTTAATGGATTCATGCGGCTGAAAATATGGCTCAAAATGCTCCATGAAAACTTCTTTTTAAAGCTTGATGAACTTGACAACACAGGGTCCACTCTTCTTAAAGAGTACTCTTAGCCCTGGCTGGCATAGCTCAGTGGATTGAGTGTGGGCTGCAAACCAAAGTGTCGCAGGTTCGATTCCCAGTCAGGGTACATGCCTGGGTTGCAGGCCATGATCCCCAGCAACTGCACATTCATGTTTCTCTCTCTCTTTCTCCCTCCCTTCCCTCTCTAAAAAATAAACACATAAAATCTTTAAAAAAAGAGTACTCTTAAAACTAAAAACATTCCCATTAAAAAAATTATTTTGCTTTTTTAAAAATCATAAAACATTGATTTATAAGCATCTGGGTGGTAGTTTTTGAGAAAGTGACTTAGATGAGCTTTTGCTAATGTTCACTTTTCAAGGTGAAACTTTGTAAACCATTAAAGAGGACATTTTGGGGGTTTTCCAGTCCCATCAGATAACGCCCAGCAAAGTGGCAGGCAGGCTTGGGAGTGCGCTGCGCTGGGACAAGGGGACGCAGAATCGAGTCTGGAGAGCTGTGCGCCCCTTTGGCCTTCATTTTCTCACCAGTAAAGCGAGCAGGCAGGACTAAGTGCATGAGGAATTTCTCTGATCTTTCCTCATTGGAAAGTTCTGTGATTTTATGTTAGAACAAATTACACACCACGCTGAGACCTGAGAGCTGGGATCAGCACATACGGCCCGTGGGCCGAATCCAGCTCACATGGCTCTCAGGCTGTGAATGGCTTATGCATTTTTAAAGAGCTGTAAAAACCAACCAACCAACAAACACATAAATAAACCAACACCCCAGACACAAAAACAAATAGATGACAGAGACCATTTGTGGCCTGCTAATCCTAAAATACTTACTATCCAGCCCTTTACGGAAAACATTTGCTGACCTCTCTGCCTTCGAGGATGGACATTAATGAGAAGTCCTTCCCAATGAAGGCCAAAAAGGTTCCGGCCAAGTGAGCTACACCCAAGACACGTTAGGAGAGCACAGACAGTCCTTCCCTGCTAAAGGGGAAAGGCAGCATCGGCTGTAGCCGACAGACCGGTGGCGGAGGCAGAGGTCTGGCCTCCTCACACCGCACAGTGGGGTGGGCGGGAGGTTCAGGCCAGAGCTGCCGCGTGAAGGCGTGAGGTCGTGCACCGCAGGACTCCGGGAGACACTCAGGAGACACTAGTCTAGTTATCAGCACTGCGAATGGGCCCGCCCCGGGGCCGGGAGTAAACAGTCCGCACAGTGACACGCAGCAGCCCTGGCTCAGGCCACTGGCGGTGCTTTACAGCGGGAGTTCACACACGGTAATAATCTGAAGTGACTTGAGGAGGATGCTTGTTGTTCGTAACTATGAGGCACATATGGGACTGTGTCCCCGTCAGTGTGACAGTGCTCGTCAGAGCTCGAGTACCTGCGTGGGGGCCCCAGGCGTCTGGCCACCCTGGTCCTGGCCCTGGCCCCGACCCCGGCCCTGGCCACTGGAGCAGTAGTGGTCGTCGGAGATGGTGATCTGCTCGTTCTCTTCGGCTTCCAGTTGGCTCTGGTTGAAACGCAGGGAACCTTTTAGAATGTCTTTGATCTGTTTTCAAGGAAAAAGAAAACACATGAAAAAGATAAATGAGTTTGTTTTTAAATGCTAGCTAAATCTCTAATATATTTAAAGTAGACTTGCCATTGACAATTTTTTATAGTATAGATATCAATGTACTAGAATAAGAAGGGAATAGCAGAGAAAAATCCAATTCTATTGATAAACGCCATTGACTTACTAATGACCAAGGGAAATTTAAGTCTCAGCGGCCAGGTTCTCACAGGGTCAGACACGGGTGTCACGTCCTTGGCTGTGAAGGCAGGAAGCGCCATTTGCCTGCACGGCCAGCCCCGTGAATGGCCCATGAACAGCCCCGTGAACGGCTCCTAAAATGCTGCACCCCAGCTGAGCTGCTAATACCATAAGCAGACACTCGGGAGCAGTATGCCATTCTGACATTCCTGTTCCATGCTGCCCTTTAAGGGTCATGAGGGTCACTGAAATGTGGCCCTGGAGGGCCCGGGGCCTGTGGCAGGCAGTGTTCACGCCACGTACTCCAAGGGCAGCGGTGTCTGTGGAGGCGACCGAACACAATGCTGGACCACACAGCACCAGCTGCGGGCGTGGACCAAACAGAATGGGCGTGGAGAGAGGGAGGAGCAGGGTGGGAAATGGAAAAGCAGTTTGGGCTGCAGGCCAGTCAGACGTGTTCACCAGAGACAGCAAGGGCACAAGGAGGGGGAGAGTCAGCAGGGCCCGGGCTGAGGGGCTGCGGCTCTAGCGTCAGGGTTGTCCTTGCCCTAGGGTGCCCTCCCCAGCGGGCACTAAAGGGGGCCGGTGGGACACAGGGTCAGATCACGGAACGTACCTGTTTCAGCCCTGCCAGGGAAACCAGAATTTGATCTTCTTTTTCCAAATTTTCTTGTAATATCACATCTTGAATGTTTACTGAAAATATAAGAATGACATTTTGAGTATAACTTATCTGCTGCCGCACTGTAACTTGAGACAACCTCGGGAATTTTTCTGCCAGATTTCACAGCAACTATTCCCAGCGAGGATGCTCTGCCGAACCGCAGACGGGGCAGGTGCTCGGTGCAGCAGAGGGGAGCGCGGAGCTGGCTGTTGCATGGCCTTCCCGCCAACATCACACAAATGCGTTCTTGTAATGACAGATGTGTCTTCCCTTCCACAGAGACCAGGCAACTCTTGTGACCTATCATATGGGGAATAGCCTGGGGCCCCTGCCAACCCCCAGGAGGAGGGGTTCAGCCTGGGCCTCCCACTCTGCCTCCCAGTTCCGTGACACTCGTTCGCCTCACTCTCCACAGACCAGCTGCTCCCAGGTGACTGAAACTACCAGAGACACTGTCTTTAAGGACTGAAACAGTGAGCACAGCATCAGTTCCACAGAGTGGTGGAAATAAGGGGACAAACTCGGGGCATCACAGGCTGCCATCAGGCAGTGATGCCTATGGAGTCCGCTCGACGCGGCCCAGGGCCTTCACAGGAGCGGTTTCTGGACCCGGAGGTCCTCTTGTCCTGACCCGATCTGAGGGATCTGCCGGCCAGCTCTGCCCATCCATCCCGCTCAGCGTCACACCCCACTGCCTGTCGACAGGTTAAACACTGTCTGAGGGCCTCAACCTCCCCCTCCCGCCGCCTGCCGGTGGATGCACACAGCCCTATTGGTGACGAGGCCCTAGAGGCAGGATTCTCAGGAATCCTGCTCAGAGGGAGAAGCAAGAGCCCTCTCCCCTGGGGCTATGCAGAATGAGTGTGAGGGGCAACTAAAACACACTTTAAAAAGATACTGATACTCGTGCCAGTTTGAGAATCACTCTAACAAACAGGCTCACCCTCTGGGTTCTTATTTTTTGTGCCCTTAAAAAATGCCCCATTTATCAGGTCTCTTAGGCCACATTCTTCGCCATGCACTCATGAAGCTGTCCCACTCTCTCCTCTGGCCCCCTGAATTCCACGTGTGCCCCCCAGGGCCACCAGAGCTATGTATCACTCCTTGCTTGCTTTCTGCCGCCAGTGGGAGAGGCAGAACCAGCACACTGCTCCCTTGGCCTGGAGGCCATGTCCCCAGATCCATGCAGACCGGCTCCTTCTCTTTGCTCAATTCACTGCTCCCAGTGCTGCCTCCTCGGAGCAGTCTTCCTGCCCACCCACACTAAAGTAGCCCAAGTCACCCTCCAGTCTCCACTGAATCCTCTTTTCCACTATATTGATAATAAGCACTTGTCACTATCTCACATTATCACATGCATTTGCCAGTTTATTTGTTGTCCCTCTGCCCCAACAGGACATAAGCTTCCAGTCTTCAGAATAATTGCTGGTGCATTTCAAGGACACAATGAATATTTACTGACTAACTGAATGAATGAACAAACATGGAAAAACACTCCTGGAACTTGCATTTCAAAACACTGCTATTCTAAATATTTCCAAACAGCATTTGCAGTAAGGGGCAAGGCGAGGACTGATACCATCGATTATGAGTCCAGCTCGAAGACTTCTTCGACTCTTCACTGAGAGCAAGTCTGTACACCGTGCCGACAGGTCCCCTTACAGACCAAGCAGAAAGACAGCAGCTTTTATTTATTCAGAAAATGTGACTGTTGTTTCTGACTAATAGAAAGGCCTGCTCCAAAATGAGAGAGCAAGATGAATGGGAAAGGAATAATAGATATAATTAGAGAGTGAATGTTTTTGGTTTCTGTAAAAGCCTGTGACAATTTATTCTCTCTCAATAAAATACACACACACAACACAAAATCCACTCAACAAGACATTAATGACAACCAACTGCAGAAAATTAGCAAGAAACAGTGTGTAGGTCTTTTAGTGGATGGAGAGGGGTTACTTCTGTTCTGTGACTGCTGTGGCCTCAGGCAGGGCCCGAGGGCCTGGGACAGCCTGGGGCAGCAGGGTGCACAGCAGCTGGGCAGTTGGGTAAAGCATTAGGTTCTGCCCCTTGGGCTGGAGGTGGGACAGATTTCCCAGTGCCTGCTGTGTCAGCAGGGCCAGCAGACGACCAGCTCCCAGCCCCTGGAAGGAAGCTCACCCAGTGGATGCAGGAACACTTAGCATGCCTGTAGGAAGCATGGGGGCCCTCCTGGGTCCAAGAAACTAAAGGAGGGGAGGCCTCTGGAGGCTATACCCGGCGAGCCAGGGGGCTGGGAAAAGAGGAAACCTGAAAAAAACCACATGTGATGTCTCCTGCCTGCCCCCTGGACAATCTGCCGTGGAAGACAAAGCGTTCGGCTAAACTGCCTAGCTCCTGCCTCCAATGTAATGGCGGGCCCCAGAGTCAGCAGCAAGGACCACAGACATTTAGGGTCTGAGGCTACAGGTCCATGGGTCAGCATGTGGCTCCAGTGGGGACAAAAGCCCAGAACCATGCAGGAGCAGAGCTCTCCTTAGGGGCCAGCAAGGACCCAGAAGCACCCAGAGGCCTTCCTAAAACCCCATCCCGGAATCTTGACACCATCCTGGCAAGGAGAAGAGACAGAGTAGAGAGGCTTTGTGGGCATCTGTTTGGATGGGGTGGTTAACTTGTGAGAAAATGAGCAGCCTTTAACTGGCATTGGTGGGGAGGGAACTTCAGAACAGGACTTCTACACACCTGAGTTGAGGTATGCAGATTTATTATTCCACCACAGCAGTGTCAGTGTCTACCCGAGATCTTCCAAAACCACACTGGCCACGTTGCCCAACAATCCCATGAACCGAGAAGCCCTATCCTCCCTAGCCTGGGTGCCCTGTTTGCTGTGAGCCAGCCCAGTGCTGATGCCTGCTGGAGTGGGCTGAAGGGGGAGGGGTGGAGAAGGCAGAAGGTATGAGTGTACTGGGAAAACGGAACGAGGCTTGTCTTTCATTGCAGGCTAAGTGGGAGTAATGCTCCCTGTTCCAACGGCCACTCTCCCCATGTGCTCACTCGATAAGGGCACGAGCCACCAACAAGCCTAGATCCTCATGACTGCACTGTCTCTTGGGTCTACAGAGGTGGCAGGGCTGCTGGTGGGCTGCCGCACCTCCACCCCCCACCCCTTCCTCACCAGCACATCCCAGATTTTATGCAGGGCAGCACTGTGCACACCTTCCCTTTCAGTCAAGGTCGGTCATGTGATGCAGCTTTGGCCAATGAGGTGTAAGAGAAGTCCCTGTATAAAGTTACTGGAAAGATCCTAGTGCGGGACTGACTCAGTTTGCACCTTTTGGGCCTGTACTCTCCCCATTTTTGCTGCCACAAGTGCTGGCAGGAGCTCCACAAGTCATCTTGCGAACATGCAGATGAAGGTCACAGCTTTGGGAACACGGGCAGAAAGCCAGAAGGGGCCTGGGGCACTGGGCCCATCTTGGAGCTGTTACACCTGCTCGGAATGCCTACTTCTGGGCTTCTTTTATTTAAGAAAAAAATAACCTACTTGTTTCTTTATTTACTGTTTTTTACCCCATTTCTGTTATTAGTAGCTATTTTAGTTTTCAAGGTACTACAAACTGGGTGGTTGAAAGTAAGGAAAATGTATTCACAAACACATTTGTGAAGCTGTTAAGTCCAAAGTCAAGGTGTTGGCCCTTCCCAGCTTTTGGAGGTTGTCCACAACCCTTGGTGTCCTTGGCTTTGTCTCCATCATCACATGGGTTCTCCCTAAGTGTCTGAGGCCAAATTTCCCCCTTTGGAGAAAGACACCTGTCCCTGGATTAGGGCCTGCCAAAACCCAGTATGGCCTCGTCTCAGCTTGGTTACATCTATAAAGGCTCTGCTTCCAAACAAGGTCACATTCGTGGGTTTCAGGTGGATGTGAAGTTGGCAGCAACACTACTGGACACAGTGCAGCAGCCAACCTGCCTGTTACACAGGATGAAAACCACTTAGCCCCACCAATCCTCTCCTGCATGGAGACTGTCATTCAGGGCCCAGGACCCACACCCAGGTGGGGTGGCGGGGACTGGGGGGCGGCTGGGTGGAGAACCCAGAACCTTGGCATCATCAGCATGGTACCCTCAGCCAGAAATTCTTATACCTTAGTTTTTGGATGGGGTGAAAGATCACCTTTTAGAATCTGATGAAAAGCAGGACCATTTCCCTGAAAACCCACATACACATAAAATGTTCACTTAATTTTAAGGAAAGACCTCTGCTATAATCAACTAAGCTGACTAGTTTCACTGTAAGAAATCCAGAGTATAGCAATACAAATGAAAACAAAGGGGCAGCCTCAGGGGCTGTTAACTGTTTCGAATATAAGAAGTCTCATTTTACGAAGTACTGTCCGTGTAAACCCTTTGTCTACCCGGTTCCACTACACGGTGATTTAAGGTAGCAATTATGAACATTCTGTTAATATATAACCTCTCAGTAAAAGGTCTGCTTTAAGTAAGTCGCATGTAAAAATAGAACATAATGATGCCATTTCATGCTTTAAAATATTGAAGGCAGAAATGTGAAATGTTTAAATTTCCAACATAATACACATTTTTCTTTATAGAAAAAAGTGAAATAATATGATATAAAGTCTCTTTTTGTTTCTGTGTAGCAGGAAGACTGTGTTCTTTACAATCCCCTTCTATTAAGTACCGTGTATTACAAATGCTGGAGCACCGAGACCAAGGGGGAAAGCCTCACACGACCACTAACCACTTCTGTGCAAACTACACAGCAGTCTCATCGACATGATCCCATGGTGACTCCACTAGTTTTAATGAAATGTCATTGCCACAAAAAATAGATCTCTAACTCTAAGGGTAATGGGAATGGCACACAAACTATGTTATTAATTTCTTAAAAACCCCATTTTCCTCAAAACTAGGATAAAAGTGTTTTCATTTCAGTGGCTGGTACAGAAGGTTAACATAAGCCTGTATTCATTAGGAGGGCAGTGGAAAGGTGACCAAAACAGACCCAACACCCATCACTGGTGGCGATGGAATTGGGC